TCCAGACCCGGTGTGGGGGAGCGGGAGGCGGCCGTCCCGGTGCCGCTTCTCCCTTCTCCGGTCTCTGCCTGCGGCCCCTCCTCCGACCATCGCGCCTCCCGCGATCCCTCCTGCTCCCGCGATTCCTGCGGCGAGGCCTGAGCCGTTGCCAGGAAAGGCGACACTTCCGTCTTCCCGCCCTCCTTCCCGCCCTCCCTCTTGTCAAGCTCGTGCACCGCCCAGGGGTCCTGCAACAGCTTCATGTCTGTGATCAGGTCCCTCACCTTCCAGAACTCCGTCCCCCGGAAGGCCACCAGCAAGCGTTTCCTTCCCCCCGTCCCCGCCCGGTCCCGCCACACTTTCAACTGGGTGTCCGTGACCCGGTTCTCCAAGAAGCACAGAAGCTCCAAGTCCGCGGCCCTCACCGCCTCCCCTCCCAAGGCCTCCGCCAGCTCCCTCCAGTCCCGGGAACACCCTCGGGCACCCGCCCACTCCCTCCCTTTCCCCTTCTCCCTCTCACGCCCGCCCTTTTCCGTCTCCCCTCCCCCGGCCCCCGCCTCCTCGCTTCCCCCGTCCCGCGCGTCCTGAGAGCCCCCCAGGCGGGAGTCGCCGCCTGCCCCCATCTCTGCACAGGCGGGGGCCTCCAACGCGGACGGTGCCGAGACCGACGGCCTTGCCAAGGGAGTGAACACCATCTCCACCCTTACCCGCACCCCCGAAGCCGCCTCTGCCAGCCGCCGCCGTGCGACCTCCCCTCGGTCATCGCCCTCCACCCCGTGTCCCCCGCCCGCGGGCGCCGTCAAGAGCAGGTCTCGCTCCCAGGACCGGGCCCCTTCCTCCCTCCCACAGCCCCCCAACAAGTCCGCCACGTCGACTTCAGCGACGCCCAACGAACATTCCTCCTTGCCTCTCAAGGAAAACCGCAGCAGCGTCTCCCCGCCCTCCTGCATCTGGGCTCGCGGCGCCGGCACCCAGGCCTCCAAGCCCGCGTCCTCAAGCCCCGCCACGCCCACGCTTCCTCCCAGTCCTGCCTCCCTCCCGGCTAGGGGCCCCCGGACAGGTACGTACACATTCCTCCCTCCCACGCCGCTCTCCCCTCCTTCCTCCCTCTCCACGCGCTCCAGCCTCACCATCTGAGAGCCCACAAACTCCTCCCCCATCTCCATCGCCACCGACACCGCAAGCATCTCGGCCCTCGGATTTCCAACACTGCCGCCCGCTCTCGCTCCTTCCTTCCCACTCGGTCCCTGTCCCTCCGTCCGAGCGCCCGCCGCCTTAAGAAAGACCGCCTGCGCCTCGGCCCTCGTCTCGGTCACGGCCTTCACCCGGACACGCAGCTTCCCGGCGAACGCTTCTCGGAGGAAGCCCTCGTGCAGGATGGCCACTTCGTTCTTGTCGCGGCCCGACTGCCAATACCCGGAAGTACGGGGGGGATCGGTGTACGCCTCGAAGGCAAAGGGGCCCATGAGGACGGCTTTGCTGAGGGAGAAGGGTTTCCGCTGGCTGGCGGCGGCGGTCTGAGGGGGAGGGGGTGAGACTGAGGAGGGAGGTGCCCGCGCGGAAGGCGACTCCTCTTCTCGTGGCTCGCGTCGGTGAGTCGCACTGTCCGCAACCTGCCATGTATCTTGCTGTAGCCGCGGGGAATGCTCTCGGAGGAAGTTTCCATCTTTCTGGAAGGGGGGGCCAAAATCCAAGGGGCTTCGTCCCCCCGGGGACCCTACTCCTGGACGAGACGCCTCGCGAGGACCATGCGGGGCAATCGACATACAGGTCCTGCTTTTCGGGCTGATACTGGCTCCACTGTCCCAGAAAACAGGACCGAGCCGCCGTTTGTGCCAGCGCGAGTGCCACGACGACGGCCGAGATGCTAGTGATGGAGCGAAGGCCAGGCGGCCCCAGCCGACCGCACCGGAGCCTACCGCCGCTAGCAAGAGCACCCACAGTAACAAACGGGGGGAATGCATTTGCCTCGTCCTTTGCATTCTTTTCAACAAAAGTTGGGCTCTAGATTCACCTTGTGCTATTGAAGCATACTGGCAGTGAAGGCCTAGCGAGAATCCGCGCTGATTCGAAGAGGCTTGCGTGTGTGACGAGTATTCTAAAACACAAGGACAAACGTGGACAGAGCAGTTAGTGATTCCCTGTCGTCAAACATGAGCATTAAAATGTTGCAAATATTCGGCAGCGTGGGATGGGGACCCTTTGTTCTGGAAGTGTCGGTTGCAAGTAAATGAAAAAAAGGAGGAAGGAGGTAACCGTCACGTGCGTCTACTGTCACGAATCCAGAAATAATCAATGCAAGGGTCGGGTTTCACGATCGAAGCCCCATTCATGGCGACGGTCCCCACCCTGGAAAGCAGAGCCAAGCCGGCGTGGACGTGTCAATGCCTGTAGGCGACATCGCCGGCAGAGGCCCATCTGCGAGTTTTCGAGCTTTTTAATGGCCAAGTGCCTGATGGCAAGCCCGTGACTAGGCAGAGGTGACCCTGTCGCCTCCAAGGGAGCACGTGGGCTTGTGCATCACGTCCAGGGTGCCGTAGACAGCGGATTTGTGAGGATCTCATCGGGATAACGACAGAGAGAGAGCTGGGACATGACTTATGAACTGGCTTCTGGGGTTTAGGCTCGACCTCGTGACTAGTGACTGCTGACGCTGCCGCGCCGGCGTCGGAATACACATCCGGGTATCGTAGAACACCGCGAGCCTACATGGTCAGACGTTCATACCCCGGTTGAGGAGCGGCGCATATGAAGAGCATGCTTCTATGTGATTGAGTTATAATCTCAAGATATGCCTTTCGGCATTGATGACGGCGTTCAGAAAACATCTTGCTTTCACGCCACTTTTCAAGGGAAAGTACCCTTTCGTCATCTTGACAGCCTTTCCCACCTCTCGAGAGGATGCGACAAATTACACAGCAACCGCCGGTACCCTCCTTTTGCAGTTCATTATGGATATAGACTTCATCAGAGTCTTGTGGGAAGAATAAATAGTGGGGAAGACGGCTACACCACATCGACAGCAACCACTCGTAAACCTATCTCAAGTGTTTACCTGTATATCGACGCGTTCTGCAAGCTTCTGTGTTCAGTTTAAAAAAGGGGCCTTGCGATTCGAAACCTTATTTCTCTTGTGGTTTCTTTTGTCCCGGTGACTCTTTGCAAGGGTCACAATTAAAAAAAATATTCTTCTTTGGTCATACAACCGGTCATGCCTCAGTGTATTTTGTCCTTTATACACGCGTCCCACGAGTGTCGTGCGCTCGTTGACACTCCTCATTCTTCTTTAATTGCAGGCCCTTTGCCTTCCAATCCAATCTCTGCACGTGTCCCTCTCGCTTTGCTTTTGCCCCTTCACACCTCTTCAAATTTCCTCCTCACATTTCCAAGCCAGGAATTTCCAGCTCTTCAATGCGCCAATCTTCATGACTCCCATCTGGCAAATACCGGCGGATGATGATCGGAATTTTGCGGGCACGCAACTCCATCATGGCTATCTTCAATGGATCCGTCTCGGTACCCGGCTTGACCATGATGGGAGCGTTCATACTGATCTGCAATGCCCGTGTTCCCAAGATCCGAGCACGTTCATATTTGGTCAAAAAGCGCGTGGTAATCTTGACCTTGTTCGCTTTAGTAGAATCTGCAGCGTCGTGCGGTAAGATGGCAATAGGCTCCTTCTCATCACGGTCAGGAAGCCCCTCTTGCTCCTCTTCCTCCTCCTGCGCTGCCTCCTCCTCTAATAGATCCTCCTCTTCCTCGTCCATCAAATTGTCGTAGAGTGCATCGGCCTCATTGTCACTCATGGTCTTCCTTATGCGTGAGCGGTCTTTGACCCTGCAGGTGTGTGGTGGCGTTGCGTTTTGAGAAAGATGCGTACCGCGGGTTCTCGCCGCGCCTCCCTCGACCTCTCCCACCCGCCCACATCCCTCTCCCTTCAACCTCCCCACTACGCCAGCGCACCGCCCATCCGGCAATGCATGCATAGGCCTGCATCCACATTCCCAATATGTGCACTGGAATGAGTGCATGATTATTTTTTGATGTCCATGTTTGGGCTCGTCGAACCCCGTTGGCGGTCCAATTGACAGGGGGTCGGCGCGACGCTTCGCATCCCCTTGGTGCCGCCTGCGTTTCCTTTCAATTCTCTGATGAAATTAAAATTCTACCCATTCTCCTTCATCAGAGCCCCATGGGTGATGCATCGGAGCCTTTGGTTGAAACATCCTCAATATCTCGAGCGGAAATCGGTCCACATCGACCAAGCTTTGTGTCTACTCTCCAAGTTACTCGTACCGCTCGAAATGGGCTGCTTAGCCCTAGGCAGCGAGCCCTGGAGCAAGCAAGCGAGGACACAGATCTGCTGGACATGTCATCACTATCCCTGAACACAGTCTCCCCCCTCAGGGACGTGCACTTGGATCTCCCCTTCATTCTTGCCTGCGAAAAAATCTACAAGCAGTCAGTGGCCAAGGGCTGCCCATGCAGTGTGGGGAGGGCCCTGAGCATGAAGGACAGGGACGCAAGCAACGAGCAAGACGCTAATCTCACCTACGGGGAGGTGCAATTCAGGTCCATGGCATTCATCTTAGAGCAAATCCGGCAGAAATATGGCAAGCCTGGGCGCCGTGATCGAGGAGAGGGCGGGGACAAGGAAGGCGAGGAGAGGAAGGAAAGAAAAGAAGGGGAGGAATGCGGAGGAGTGATGCAAACACCGGGAGGGGGAGTGTTTTACGACATTGGATCTGGGACAGGCAAGCCCTGCTTTGCGGCGGCTGCCCTTTTCCCTTTCAAAAAGGTTGTGGGCATCGAAGTCTTGGGGAGTCTGGTGGAGGCCGCGCAGGAGACGCGAAGGGAGTGGGAGGAGCGGGCAGTCCCTGCCTTGGCTACCGTCCGCGGACACGTCGACAACAAAGAGGGAGAGGCTGCCGTCCGCGGACACGTCGACAACAAAGAGGGAGAGGCTGCCGTCCGCGGACACGTCGACAACAAAGAGGGAGAGGCTGCCGTCCGCGGACACGTCGACAACAAAGAGGGAGAGGCTGCCGTCCGCGGACACGTCGACAACAAAGAGGGAGAGGGAAGGGAGGCCGGGGCGACGCATGGGCGACAGACTCTGGGGGCCACGCGCGTGGAGTTCGTGCGGGGGGACTTCCGGGACTCGAACCTGTGCGACTGGCCGCGGGAGGCCGACGTCTGCCTCGCCAACTCCACCTGCTTCGATGCCGGCCTCATGCAGGCCCTGGCCTCCCAGGCGGCCGGCATGCGCCGAGGGAGCATCTTCGTGACGTTCACACACCGACTCCCCTGCCCCGAGGACTGGGAGGTGGTGGACGAGAGCCTGATGATGATGAGCTGGGGGGGGGCCACGGTGTTCACGCAGAGGAAGAAAACCGCCGGGACGAAAGCGTCCGGCTGATGAAGGGAAAGGGTTGAAAAGCTTCTCCGGAGCTTGTGAAATGCTATATATATTTCATATATTTGTATAAACGGAATAAATACCCATTCGTACTCTCCGAAGCAGGGAAAAGAAAGCAGTCCCAGTCACCACCACGTGCTCCGTGCCTCTTGGCCCCTCTCTTCTTTCTTTCCTTCCCCGTCCCAACTCCCGACCTTCGCTCCCTCTCCTTTCCTCCCCTCAGCTGGCCCCTGGCCGCGCATTTCCGAGCCCCCGCAGGCTCTTCTCCTTCTAACCCCTGCCCGCACCCTCCTCCCCCTCCCACCCCACCCTCCGGAGCTTCCCCCTCCTCGCCTCCTCCTCCTCCTCACTCAAGGGCCGGTGCACCAGACTCACGCCCCGCGCCGGCTTTTCCGAGACCGCCCGGTCCATCTTCTTCACCTTCAAGACCGCCGAGATCGGGCACAGGCTCGCCCCCCCCGCCTCCGGGTCCACAAGCAGCAGCACTTGCTGCTGCGGTAGCGTTCCCCGCCCCTGCGCCCCCTCGGGGCCCCCGACCCCCCCCTTCCCATCCGCCCTCCCCACCTCCAGATGGTAGTAGCGGACAGGCTCGAAACGCTTGCAAATCTGAACCCCCCCCCCTCCCTCGCTTCCCCCACGGAGGCGTGCCCCTGGCCCCTGTAGTACCCCGCTTTCACCGTCCTCCCCAAGCCCCAACCCTCCCCCTCCCTTCCCCCCTCCACAGCGAACAAAGGCGCTTCTTGCGCCGCTTCCTCCTCCCGCCCCCGCACCTCGTTCCCGAACTGCACCACCATCAACTCGCTCGCCCACTGGCCCGCGTCCGGCACCAACTCCGCCACCCAGGCAGGCTTCCGCTCCCCGGCCTCCCGTGGCCCCAAACCCTCCCCCCTCTGCGCCTCCTCGAAGCTCCGCGCAATGGCTGCCTCCCATCCTTCTTGCCGCGTCTCGTCCAGCACCTCCCTCCCGTCTTCTTCCCCCTCTTCCCCCTCCGCCCTCCCCTTCCTCCACTGTGCGCCCCCTCCCTCCCTCCCTTGCTGACTGTCGTACGTGACCGCCGTCTCGTACCTGGGCCGCAGCATCCATGGAGCCGCCACGTCGGCCGCGGTGGCCACGCCCTCCGTGTCCTCCCCCCCCTCCCGCCCTCCCTCCCCGTCCTCCGCCTCCCTCTTCTGCCTCCCCTGAAACAGCTCCCACTCGAGGAAGGCGGCGTCGTCCGGGTGGAGGGAGGGAGGGAGGGAGGCCCCGTTCGAGACTGGGGGCCTGCCACTTCTTCCGGTCGATCGTGTCGATTTCCACGCCCAGGGAGATGTCTGAGTGTAACGGATATTTGAATCTGCTAGCCAATGGCACCACCTCCCGGTACCTCACGAGGTCCCCCAAGTTCGCCAAACTGTCCACGGTCAGGAAGCGGGGCCCCAGAGGCACCTCCGGGAGGGGAAGCTGGAACTTCAAGTCCACCACGAAATCG